GGGGCTGCGCTAAGCGGCTGCCTTGCGCCTAGCACGGAGGAGGCGTCCGCAGCTGCTGGCGAGGGTGCGCCGTCCCGGGAGCAGCGATGTCGGAGGCCGTGGATCTGTCCTTCTTGTCGGACGTGGAGAGGGATTTGATCCTGCAGGTCCTGCAGCGCGATGAGGAGCTCCGCAAAGCAGAGGAGAGGAGAATCAGGTGAGGAGGCGGCCGGGGCCGGGCAGGGCGCTGGGTTCCCCGCTTTGCTCTGGAAGCGGCTGGAGGAGCGATGGGGCTGGGGCACGGCTCAGCCCCAGGGTCCCGGCACGGCTCTGACGGGTGCCGGTGTCGGGGTCCGAGCAGGCGCCTGAAGAACGAGCTGCTGGAGATCCGGCGCAAGGGAGCCAAGCGGGGCAGCCAGCGCTACAGCGAGCGGACCTGCGCCCGCTGCCAGCAGAGCCTGGGCCGCGTCGGCCCCAAGGCCAACACCTGCCGGGGCTGCAACCACTTGGTGTGTCGGGACTGCCGTTCCTACAGCCCCAACGGCTCCTGGCGCTGCAAAGTCTGCTCCAAGGAGGCGTGAGTACCTGGGGACAAGTGGCAGGGACCTTCTGCACGCTCCTCCTGTCCCCTTCCTCTTCCCAGCCACCCCGGCTGGATGCCCCGTGGCCAGCCTTTCCTGGCCCAGCTGGTCTTCTCCAGCGCAGGGCAGCTCTCTCTGCTGTCACTTCCCAGGGTGGGCACCCACGGTTGGGTGATGGAGAACTGGGTCGTGCCCCGGTCTTGGGTCTCCTTCATGCCCACCCCGCTCCTCTTCCCCCCTTACTTGACTCCAGCATCCCCCGTGCCCCTCATGCAGCCTGTGTTTCAAGCACCCCGGGTTTCCTCCCTCTCAGCCTCCCCATCCTGCAAAACCCATCTTGCTCCTGTGTTTGCTGGAGATGTAGCTGGGCCCATCGTCTGCGTCGTCTCTGCCCAGCCCCTTGCTGAACATGTCCACTGTGCCCATGCTCCCCTTGGCTGGTGGCAGCACCGAGGGTGCAGGGAGCAGCCCCCCCCCACCCCTGACTGCCCCCGCTGCCTCCCTGCCCTGCAGCGAGCTGAAGAAGACAACGGGCGATTGGTTCTACGATCAGAGGGTCAACCGCTTCGCCAACCGTCTGGGCAGCGACATGGTGCGGCTGTCCCTGCGGCACAGGTCGGCAGGTAGGGGTGCCACAGCCTTCTCCCACAGCCTGGACCTCCGGGATGCTCCAGCTTTCCCTGGTCCACCTCCGCCCAGTGCGGAGCTGGCTGGAAGCAGCTCCTGCTCCAGGCAATGGGCTGGGAGCAGCGGTCTTCCTGATGCCTCTTTCCTTCCAGCCTGCAAAAGAGAGACCGCGGGACAAACCCTCCTTCAGAAAGCCCAGCTCGGTGAGCCCAAAAGCTCCTCCGCAGCTCGGCAGCAGAGCCCCCCGGCACCCCGGGAGGGGCCCAGGTGAGGAACCCTGCCATCTCTCCCACTCTGGGTGCCAGCCTTTGCCTGCTGCAGGGATGGGCGGGACGCTGACGCCCTGCTCGGATCACTGGTGGCGCAGAAGCTCTCTCTCAGACGTGCTTCCTCACCAAACAGGACATACCTGTGGTTTTGTTTGTCTGCAGTTTGTTTCTGGATGCCTCAGACCCTCGGGATGGTAAAAGCGACACAGAGTCCATGGAAAACATGAGCCTGGATGGCTACAGACATAGTCCTGGTGGCGTGGGGGGCAGGTGAGGGGCTCCTGGGTGGTTTGGCCTTGGCAAGGCTGGCCTGGCAGAGGAGGAGGACCCTTGTCTTAAGTGCGTTTTTCTCGGTCTAGCGAGAGGGAGCTGGCTCCTCTGGCTGGGCTGAAACCTGTCCCTGGGCAGGCCGGTCCTCTGTTCCCCAGGCTGGGGTGCTCCAGGGAGCTTGCATGGCTCTGGGGAGCTTGTGGGGAGATGGCGCTGCCTGGCCAGCGCTTGCTCTCCTAGCCGTGCTCTTGGCCTGGGACAGACATTTCTGTGTCCTCTGCAGGAGTAACTCCCTGGAGAGAGCCGCCCCTCTCAGAGATGGAAAACAGGTTGCTGCGCCAGCAGGACCTGCTGCCTCCAGCCTGACCCTCCCTCTCCGCTCCAAAAACGTGTTCTCCGATGGACGGGTGTGTGCCCATGCTCCGGCAGGCTCAGCCCTGTCCTGGGGTGCCTGGGAGCCCCGTTGGGTGCCCAGCCCTGACCTGCTCTGAAGGGACCTTTCCTCCCCAGGATGCCGCCGTGGGGAGCCGCAGCAGCGCCTTGGTGGACGAGCACGAAACGATATTCAAGAAGAATCCCCGGCGGGTGGTGAGGCCTGCGGGTGAGAGCTGTGCGGATGCAGGGGGTTTGGGTGCCGACACGGCAGCAGGTGGGCGGCCACTTCTCCCTGGGCTGTGGCGGGCTTTTGGTGCCGATGGGAGAGGCTGGGGCAGCCCTTGCTTGAGGGAGCAGCAGGGCTCTTGTTAGTCCTGCACCGTGCCGCTGCCTCCTGCCTCACCATCTCTCCTGCAGACTACACCAAGTCGGTCATCGACCTGCGCCCGGAGGACTTTGTGGGGGAAGGCGGCTCTTTGGGGGACAGGAGCAAGTCGGTTCCCGGCCTCAACACGGAGCTGGTGAGACCCTTGGCATGCCGTGGAGCTGGCTGCCAGGTGGAGGAGCAGGCTGCCTGGCCAGCCGTGCCCTGCCCTGCTGCTCCCCACACAGGTGGCTTGTCTCCCTCCTTGCAGGAGGAGGAGGAGGAGGACATCGATAACCTGGTGGAGATCCATCGGCAAAGGGTGGCCCGGGGCAGCATGCGCAGTGGCACCTCCTCGGTGAGTCCCCGCAGCATGGCTGTGCCTTGTTCCACGGGAAGAAATGATGGAGAAGGGCAGCGGCGGCTGGTTGGGCGGGAGGGAGGTGGGGGGCAGCTCCTGGGGCATGGGGGCAAGAGCTTGGGGCGTGGGGGTTTCCTCCCCTTGAAGGGAATCGAAACGCGGAGACCCAGCTCTCTTCCAGGGAGCCTGCGTGTGGGTGGGAGGTGCTTGGCAGCCATCCC